AACAACGAATTTGTATTGTATATATCGGTCACCTGGTAACATTCTATAACCTTATAAGTTTTCGTTAGCAAATGAACAGTCTTACCTTCTTCGAACAATCTCTTCTGGCTATGGCTGTCGTTGTGACTAGTGACTGGCTTTATGGATCTATCCGTCGAAGATGTAATTCGCAGTATGCAACTTGCGCGAGTAGACTAGTGTCATGCAGTTCTGGTCTTCGTTTTGGCGTGCGAATTTACGACCAGAGATCTATCGAGTCCAATTTGGAAGGCTTGTAGCGGTGCCTCAAAGATTCCAAGCATCGTCGTTTTGTATACACGCCTACTACGTCTCTCCGCATATCGTACGAGCATCAGTAATCCAGCATCGCGAGGCGGAGAGTATCGTATTCCGGTATACTGATGTAGATCTCCCTAAAATTAGGTGCGGGATGCCTAAAAGTGGGGTGACTAATGCAAGGCAACCTGTCAAGCTCCTGGTTGACGGAATATCGTGGATACTTGTTCGGGAAGGCGGATGTACGGTGATGGTGATATTAAAATTGGGAGGCCTCAAGCAGCGTATTGTGTATAAGAAGAGCCAAAGTGGAACTCTATGTGCTGGACACCAATGGTCAGCACTTCAGAATCCTACCATCACAATGCAGTTCACACAAAACGCCTTCGCAGCCATTCTGGCAATTGCATCTTCAGCCGCGGCATCCCCGCTCGCAGCTCGTCAAGCTACGCTTCAAGACTTTCAAGTCAACAAGGTGACTTCCTATAGCCCGTCGGGACGGCCCGGCAGCTATCCATGGGCTCAGATCACAGCTTCCGTGACCGACCCCAACGAGATCAACCTCGGCACATCACAGTCTGACGGCAGCGACGTAACCGTGCCAGCAGGAAGCCAAGGCCTCGTATGTTCATCCTCTTTTCCCAAATATGCCAATGCCTTCACTAACCCGAGCCTAGAACTGCAAAGCGCAATGGTACACCAAGGGTGAGTCACCCCTCGATCGTACCTGGCCATGCGATGCCACGTCCAATGGCTACTGGATCATGAACGTGCTTGAGGGAAGCAGCGGTTTCGCAACCGGTGACTTCAACCTGAAGTTCACGCACGTGGCTGATTTGGTGTACCGGGGTGAGCAATTCACGGAGTCGTTCGAGGCGGAGGGACACTTTGCGGTTGGAGAGAACCTCTCTGGGAGCTGTGGTGGAAGCGGAATTTGTACTTGGGGTCTGAAGAGTGGGAACACTCCCTTCGAGATTGCGGTGACGAAGGTGTAGAGGATCGTAACGAGGCTTTCGTGTGCTTCATAGCGATGGAGGGAGTAACATGGTATTTTTGTGGCCGGCTTACCTACACGAGAGGTTAGCTAAGAGCTACTGAAGAGCGCAGTAATGGGCTTAATGTCTATCAAAGATGCGACATACCTGTATCCTCAGATCTAGAAGAAATCTATGTTCATGATGAAAGCAATTATGCTGTTGACCTTTCTACCATGTGCGTCTGACACTCTGAAGCCTTTCGGTACTAGGCATACCTCGGCTACGCCTGGGGCATGATATCTGTTCCTCATTGACACGGACCAGAGGGCAAAGTACTCATCGTATGGTCTTGTGTGACGCGCTCTAGTTCACTTCTTCTGCATGTGCTGCAATGCTCGGCTGGTGTTATTCCCGCTATACTTGCCATGTACGAATGACGACTGATTGACGTCTTCGCTCAGCGATCGACACCGCCCACCGCTAATGATCAGGACTGAGAATCATAAAAAGGTCGCTAGACTCCAGCATCGTTGTGTAAGTGCCGTGGTAAGAATGCGCAAGATTACATACCTGGACGCGCCATCGGAAGTGGCCGGCGAAGCTGTCGGCAACGCGCTTGCTATCAAGCATCAGCATCGCGACTTCCGTCAATTGCCGGTGCAGTCCGTCAGCAGCCTCTGCTATCCACAAATCAATGTGAAAATCATTACTATGGCGATATCGCGGAGACATTTATCGCGTTTAATCGTCTGCTAACCCACTGTTCGTCAGGGTTTGTTGTGCTGATCGGGTGAGTTAGTGGTAACGGGTTGGGTTATCCCCGCATCTTCGCTCGGGACTTGGCATCGTCACAAGCTCGAAGCTCCCCTCCCCCGAACCTGGGCCTGGAGTTTACCATTCACGGCCAGCCGACTAGCCTGCATCGGTCTGCCGACGCAAGATGATCCTCGGCCCAGACGTCAAGATGGGTGACGTTTGTATCATGAATATATTATCTACCGGCCGCCCAGCCCTCTCCGCACGCTGCATACTTGATTGCATTCCTCTCTTCATACCTTGAAGATATTCATCAATTGTACAAGAACATATACATATTTCATAATGGCAGCTAGCGCCGACAGTATTCTACGAGAGGTCAACATCCTCGGCGACCTCAACGATCAGAACCGTCACATCCTCAGCAAGGACGCCTGTGTCTTCCTTGCGCTCCTTCACCGCACATTCAATGAGCGCCGGAAAGCGCTGTTGCAGCGACGAGTAATCCGACAAGCTGAGCTCGACAAGGGCAACCTTCTCGACTTCCTCCCAGAGACCAAGCACATCCGCGAGAACGATGCATGGAAGGGCGCACCACCAGCGCCAGGTCTTGTTGACAGGCGCGTCGAGATTACTGGCCCGACAGATCGCAAGATGGTTGTCAACGCCCTGAACTCGAATGTCTGGACATACATGGCCGATTTCGAGGGTACGTAGATTATCACTTTGAGCAGAGGACTATAGCTAACGTCTCCAAGATTCATCTGCACCAACATGGGACAACATGATCAACGGACAACTCAACCTCTACGACGCCATCCGCAAGCAAGTCGACTTCAAGCAAGGCGAGAAGGAGTACAAGCTCCGCACCGACCGAACACTGCCCACACTCATCGCTCGCGCGAGAGGCTGGCATCTGGAGGAGAAGCACTTCACAGTTGATGGCGAGCCCATCTCCGGTGGACTGTTCGACTTTGGACTGTACTTCTTCCACAACGCACATGAGCTGGTCAAGCGCGGAACAGGACCATACTTCTACCTGCCCAAGATGGAGTCGCATCTTGAGGCCAGGCTATGGAATGACGTCTTCAACCTGGCGCAAGACTACATCGGCATGAGGCGTGGAACCATCCGTGGTACCGTCTTGATCGAGACCATCACCGCTGCTTTCGAGATGGACGAGGTATGTCCCACTTCTTACTTCCATCCAATGCTTTGACTAATTACTCCCAGATCATCTACGAGCTCCGCGACCACTCTTCCGGTCTCAACTGCGGCCGCTGGGACTACATCTTCAGCACCATCAAGCGCTTCCGCCAGAACCCCAACTTTGTCCTCCCCGACCGCGACTCCGTCACCATGACCTCACCCTTCATGGATGCCTATGTCAAGCTCCTCATCAAGACATGCCACAGGCGCGGTGTCCACGCTATGGGTGGCATGGCAGCCCAGATCCCCATCAAGAACGACCAAGCCGCCAACGACGCCGCCATGGCCAAGGTCAAGGCCGACAAGCTGCGCGAGGCACGCGCCGGCCACGACGGCACATGGGTCGCCCATCCGGCCCTCGCAGCCATTGCAAGCGAGGTCTTCAACGAGCACATGCCTGCTCCCAACCAGATGCATGTCCGCCGCGAAGACGTCCACATTACTGCCAACGACCTCCTCAACATGAACGTCCCCGGCAAAGTGACTGAGGACGGTATCCGCAAGAACCTCGATATCGGACTGTCCTACATGGAGGCCTGGATCCGTGGCGTAGGCTGCGTTCCCATCAACTACCTCATGGAAGATGCCGCCACCGCTGAAGTCTCACGCTCACAACTCTGGCAGTGGACTAGGCACAATGTCGAGACTGCCGAAGGCAAGAAGGTGACCAAGGATTACGCCCTCAAGCTGCTGAAGGAGCAGGCGCAGGCATTGAGTGATAAGGCGCCAAAGGGCAACAAGTTCCATCTTGCTGCGAAGTACTTTGAGGGACAGGTGACTGGTGAAGACTACGCCGAGTTTTTGACTTCGTAAGTGCACTTTTCTCTTTCTTTCCACCCTATGAACTGGACTCTGCCAATGGTAAAAAGATGGATTCATGTGCTAACTCTATGTCCAGACTGCTCTACAATGAGATTACGAATGTAGGTCCGCCCAAGGGAGCCTCCAAGTTGTAGTCTTCTTGTCATGGTTATTCTTCTACTATCATGAGTTTATCCACTTTGCTGTTATCCTTGTAAACCTTTATACCAATGTTCCAGGCCTTTTTTGAAGTGGAAAAGAAAAGAAAAAGAGTTCTGTTTTTAAATCAAGAAATGCAAAGAAGCGTTCCACCATCATGTTTGCTGTTATTATCTACACTACCTGCACTACACTTGCGCGCTCCCACACCGCCGCTGCACTGAACAACAAAACAAAAAACTTCAAGCATGTGAATGCAAGCTGACGCGGCTACCACCATAGGTCGGTTCTCCAGTTGCGGCATCGAAGCTGTAGGGGTGACGAAACGAAACGTGTGCCGAAGTGTGTGATCCAGGTTGTCGGGTAGAAAGAGTGCATGGACGGTAGGGATGGGGCTCGGTGAAGAGTGGTTGGCATGGATAAGAAAGAGGGGTTGGCATGTGAAAAGGCGATGGGATCACCTTGGGAAGTTATGCATAGCGATGATGATGATGATTAATAGCGCACTTTGTATAAAATTCCTACTTCAGTAATCATACTTGAACGACGTGAGAGCGACGATGAGGAAAATATGTTGATATGGTATGTCAGCTTCGTGATGTTGGACCGATGAATGATGTGCAGTGGTAGCAAGATGGACGGAAAGGAAAAAAGACTCCACATGAACATTTGAAACCCATTTCATCGTAGTCTCGTGGTATCTAGAGAAGTGGCGTTATGATGCCTCGTGCATTCAGTGTCCCGCGACTATGCAGACCAGATACATGACTAAACACCCATTTTGACCTGACCAATGCACCGAAGAAGCCCCAAATATCACCTCTACTTCCTGAGGAGACGCTGGTAGAAAGCAAGCTCCTCACCCTCGAGGATGTAGCCGTCGCAGCGACCGCTCTGGCCGGGACGGGAAGAGACAGCGGCGTACAGACGACCGGCCTCGAACTGCTTCTCAACAGCGTTCTCAATCTTTCCTCCGTTCTTCAAGCGGTCGGCCTGCTTCTTGGTGACCGAGTTGGACTTCTTCTTGTCCTCCTCCTTCTCACCGGCCTTGACCTGCCTCCTGCGGCCGAGCGAAGAGCCGTAGTGGGCCTCGTACCATTGTCGGAAGGGAGCGGCATCGATCTGGACGATAGCGGAGCGGGTCAGGGTGTTGGTACGGACGAGCTCGTTGTTGGAGGGGTGGTAGACGACACCGATGACACGGGTCTTCTTGGCGATGCCCTCGGAGCCCCAGGAGAAGTTGCCGGCTTCGAGACGAAGGGCACGGAACTTGCGGTTGCCGCCACGGGTGCGGACAAGATGAACACGCTTTGTGCCAATACGAGTGTTGGCAGGCTGGCGGCCCTTCTCGAAAGCCCTGAAGCCATGTTAGACATGACTAGAGAAGCGATCGGGTTATGCATACCTCTTCTTGCGGTAGTATGCGCGCTTCGCACCGGACGCGGAACGCTTGTGGCGAGAGTCTCGTGAGATACTGGCGGGTGTTAGTGCTTGTACAAGACTGAGGGTGAGGGAAGAATAGATACCCCATGATTGCGGTTGTTCAGAAGACGCTGTCCCACACAATCAAATTAGCCTTTGTCCTCAATTGCAGTTGGGCGAAGCCGCAGCATTGCTCCCACTGCCCGCAGAGTCCCCCGCCTTGTATAGCCAGGTGTAGAAGTATAGATATCGAGCGGCTCGCGTGCGACCATACACTTCGTCTGACGGCGGCGGACCAGTCGCGGGGCAGCTTCGAGTGTCGCAATGCTGAACGGCTCCGAGTATTCGAGTAGAGCGTGTTCTGTAGAGCGTACCTGATGTCGGGTCTCCTGGTGCAATCTGTGTTGTCGTGGGGTTAGTTGGCGCTTGTCAGAAGACGAAGAGGAAATTCGCGAAACTCATTTTCGCAGCTGCGTTGGTGCCAAGGGACGCTAGCAGTAAGCGAGCATGTGGTGGGCAGTCGCGCTCCGCTGCCCCCATCGATAAGTCGGACCATCACCAGCCCTCACCTATTACTGCCAGCAACATCGTCACAGATAACGCGTCGATGAAAATCAAGAAAGATGCAGCTGCGGCACAGGAACCTCTGTTTCTTGTTGTCCAAGCGGCATCGCATCCTACGATTGGTGGCATGACTACAGCATCAGGATAGCAGCCTGAGATGCTCACTGGACTGCAACCCAATGGCCTAGCCATGTATCAGTCGGGAGCCACCAACTGGGCGGGCAGTACCTTCCTGATCATGAAGAGCTCTGCAATAAATCGCTATGCCGGATTGCTGCTTTGCAATTTTCTACATTGATCTCGGGGTGTCGCAGCTGCTAACCGCACGTGGCACGCTAAGGTTGTATCTTTCTCGATATTTACTGATGCTGCTGATCTCACCAATTCTTCTTGTTGTATACCGAAACGCGGCAACCGACCAGTTGAAGGAGCTGTTGTCGATGCTGTCATCTCCAAGTAGGTCAGATCAGCGGCCTCTGGTCCCCAAGGCCAATCATAAACGCCCTTCATCGTCTTTGTTCCCGCTATACGAAATTTTGGATTTGGCAAAAGAAACCTTAACGCCGATGGTCCAAACAACACCCCCCGATTCAACATACCAACATAACTCCTTATGCGAAAGCTCGGAGCGACATCGGGAGCGAGGCATACGCCGGCTACACGCATGAACCTTCCGCTATCACCCGTGAAAGCGGCCGCATGATCAAAACATCAAGTCTCCAAAGACCTTTCCGTGCCCAGATAGTATCAAGCCCAGGGCACGCCGACGAATGCAGGTCCGGTGATTTGTGGGTTGCCGCGAGGGACGTTTCTAGCGAGCGCCTGGAAACATACTCTACACATCTTTACCATGTGTGTCCGGTTTTGCATGGGAGGATTGCCGCCTGTATGGATCCGGGTGAATGTCGTTCACGCCACCCGTCCTGAGCGCTTCGCATGGTCTCTCCGCAAACCCAATGCTGTGTCGACAAGTCGTGTTTGCATTGGATGTTCATTGACTGCGTTTAAGTTTTCAAAAGGACATTTAGTTCGTCGTCGAGAAAGCTTGCACAAAAAGCATTAGACTGTAGATCGTAGGTACGCACTAGTACCATGGAACAGGACTAACCATCTATGCTTAGCTCCTGTCATGTCGAGATGATCATGAGATGTCGGACGCACTGAAGACAGCATACATCACTTATGAATTGGCGCCCTGGTCGACCACATGGCATTTCTTCATGATCCCTGCTTCTGGAATCCGTTCGACCTGGTTGTGGACATTTACCAAGACCTGCGCAATTGCGACTCGTTCGTTCATGGGGGAACGTTGTCAGCTTTGCAGCAGAGTCGAGTGTTGGACAAGGGTCAAGGCTCGCTAAGCTACCTAGAAGGAACCAACCGCTGGCCAACGTCCAGCTGACGTATAGTATCGCGTTCCCGCTCCGGGTAAAGCCATCTCCACACTCGGGCGTTTCCAATCGGCACAATAACGACCCCAGCTTCTATGAAAGTCTAATCAATAGCAATCTAAGTAGATGCTGTGTACCACTCTTCCAGTCTTTATCTCAGTCACCGGCCACTTCCTCGGTATATGTAGAACGCGGAGATTTACGATTCATATTCTTTCTATGCTTGCTCAGATTCCGTATCAAGTATTGAGAAGGGCTGTCACCTGGATGAAATGTAAGGCTGCAGATTTCCTGCTTCTCGTGGTTACTATTCCCGCATTACGACCCTATGGTATCCGTCTCCAAAGACTGCCATGCGCATCACCTGCTCTGCTATCAATTTCCCATCGTACCATTTGTTGTGCCTCGGCGCTATTTGGATAGGTGTTACATCTGCACTACCATCAGCGGGTAGGGTGCCAGACGTTGGTGGTCGTAAAAACAAAAACCTGTTGTGCTAACCTGAGAAAGAACTACCCGACCATGGATCGGCAGCGGCAGCGGGAAGCCTGAACTCAATGATATTGGAGCCAAGTGAGTTGCATTGACGAACACCGGTTTTCAATGACTGACGAAACGTGTGTTACCTCCTAGACTCCAACTCTGGTACATCAACAAATGCTGCGCCTCCGCCGGCTGTCCGATCACGCCCTCTTAACTTGATACCTTCGCGGCCAACTCAGTCTACCCTCAGCAGTCTGTCCTCCACATCAGGGCCTATAGCTCTGACGGTACCTTCACCCGTTATCGTCACAACAGCGCCTTTTCCAAACTCAGTCGTAGCACTCAACCCGCCATACGCATCGCTAACAGATGTGACAACCATATTAACCTCGTCTCAAGGAAATGCTACAGGGACGCTACCAATGATATCGACGTTTCAAGGCCTAAGACCAATCCCACCAGCCGTGACGGAGGTCGGAGACCCGAATGGCCATCATGAGATCCCCGAGCCCAACTTCAGTTCTACACGGCCGTGCAGAGGATGTTCGCCAGTATATGAGATACCTGCAACAGGGTGGCTTGATACCCCTGTCGGAGAACAACATGGCTCTACGATCCAAGAAGCGACTGCGCAAGCAACCACGGAAAGACCTCCGCAGATAACGATATCGGCTGGTGCGTCCGACATTGTCGTCAATCAAGACCCAAGCGGTGGTGGTTTTGTAGTAGGGGGTTCTCTTACTCTGACGCCTGGCGACACCGTTACTATTGGAGACACGCCTGTGGCGATCGAGACCTCAGATGGCAAGACCAAGATCGTCGTTGGTACTACCATCATCTCGTTGCTGCCTTTCCAGTCCGCAACTACAGATGTGCCCGTCTCGCAACCACCGATACCACTTCCACCAATACTCACTATTGGTACCAAAACTATCGCACCAAATTCGCAGACACAGTACGTGATCGCAGGTCAAACTCTTCTTCCTGGAGGCGAACGACTTACGATATCTGGCACAACACTTGCCCTCGCATCTTCCGCGACAGCGCTCATCGTCAACGGAAGAACGACCAGTATCACGCCGATCTTTGGCAACGTATATACCACAGTCGCAGCTGCTTTAACTTACGAAAATCATGTCTACACACCAAATCGTGCTGGCTACATTGTGATGGGTCCTGGTACAACTCTTGTTCCAGGCGGCGCCCCCGTCACTGTAAACGGCACGACGCTGAGCCTAGATCATAGCGGAACTGCTGTAGTCGTACAAGGAGCTACGAGAACCCTTCAACCCATTACTACAATCGCCACATTGACGAGGGAACCAGATCCGTTGGGAACAGGGTGCGGTGTAAGTGGAGGAAGCTATCACGGGCAATCGAACGGCTATTTGTACCCCACAGGAGGCCCGGTTATCGCTGGTACGGTACGAGCTCATGGTACGATTGCGGGAAGCTGGCCGGCAGGCTTGCTGTTGCTGGTCTGGTGGGGTATGGGGATTCTCGCAATCCGACTATGAATAGGGTCGTGTATTCCTCCGCATTGAATTTATAGATGTTTGCGTAATAGACTTGTCTTTGCATTGGTGGCGTCTGGTTTGCGAGTCTTTACTAAGAATACGAAACCTGCGCTGCATCGTCGGTCGGCCATTTGGTGACAAACGTAAGCTCGTATCATGCTGATGTTTGCGACAGTTCCACGTTGATGTAGACAGCGCTGGGTCGCTGACGCTGCGTAATGCGCGTAGTATTGTAGCTGATGAATGCAGAGTCATCGTCTGTCGCACGTCGCAAGACTCACGATCACGACAGTCAGATGACAGCTTGTGCCATCGAGAAGGATCTGTGAACACGATCGTGAGCTTGCCGAAAATCACTCACCTGCTGTCACATCATCACCCCCTATCCACACCGACCACATCGTCGTCACGCGGGCGCGCCCTCACCAAACATCAAATTTTCGTCGCCAAACCTCCAAAGGCATTCTTCTAACAGTTAACGGACATGTCGCACAAGGTAAAACAGCGACTTTACGTACAAACATCCACTCCCAGTGCAACAGCAGAGTCTAGCCCAAAAGCACAGAAGCAAACTTGGCATCCGACGGGCAACTGGGCGGCGGGAAAGGCCCTGCGTGGATCAGGTACACAGCGTGGTGCGACGAAGCGTGGCAGCCAATAACAGAATTTTCCCCCGCCATGCCGTTAGCTGCTAGAAGACTGCCTTTGGAGGACACGAACCGAAAACTCATCACCGCGCCTTTACACACACGATGCGCCCTGACGAAATTAGCCGCCGACGGGAAACGATCCGGCGCGCCTTCGGAAAAGACGCACCATGGTAGGGCGTGGACACCTGGTGGTCATAATGCTGTTGGCACGGACCCTCTCACGCCCTGTTAAGGTGTTCGATGACAGGAATTCTATGGGTTTGTCAGCCCTGTGGCCAATCAGAGCGGCGGACGCCACAGAATCTCACGATCGTGTCGTCGACAGGTGCAGGGCGTGCGCAACGGTGTGGTCTGTTAGAATTTTGGCGAAGAGTTTTGAATGTAAGGTGTGACCGGTGATGCTTGGCAAGTGTCATAGAGAATATTCTGGGGGATGGGCTGGGGGAGTATAAAGGGGATGGTGGGTACGTGAGGATGAAGGACATCAGCACAGTAAAGCATACTACAAGCAAAGCAACTACTACTACCACTACTACCAATCTTCGATCGCATCTCAAGCATTAACATCACATCGATCAACACTCCAACACAAACAACCACCACAACCATCAAAATGCCCAACTTCCTCTCCTCCGTCGCGGCTCACGCAAAGGCCCACCACGAGAGCATCAACGCTGCCTGCAACGCCTACTACGGCGGCTCCGTATCTACCTATACCAGCCCGGCATCTTCCACACAAACCTCCCGCAACCCCTCCACCACCTCCAGCCAACAGCGCAACCCCACAAACGCGTCCAAGGCCTGGAAAGCCCTCAAGAAGCACCACCAAGAGATGAACTCTGCCTTTGCCGTCTACTACAGCCCCAGCTTCTCTCCCTCCGCATCTCGCTCATCATCTACTGCGAGCAGCCCGAGGCAGAGCGGCGAGGCATCCAGGAAGAGCGCCGGTGCTGCGCCTGCTACTTTCGAGGAGAAGGAGGCTGCGCAGGAGGGACCCAGGAACTACCAGAAGGCCTGGAAGGGACTCAAGAACAGGATTGTTGAGCACCACAGGAGCGTCAGCAATGCTTACGAGCACACCTACGGCGCTCCTCACAACTAGGAAGCGACCTTGCGAAGTGAGCTCCTTAAGGGGGAAAGAAGATCCGGGGATGTTGTAATAATGGGAAACGGGCCAACAAAAGTGAATTTTTTTGGGGATATTGGGACGCGCAAATACCCTGGGGACGGGTGAAACAAAAAGTGATTTTTGGGATGCGCATATACCACTGGGATTACGAGGCGTTTTATAGGACTTGAGTTGAGATTAGAGAGATACTGGGTAATGTGGAGGATAATAATACTATGATCATATCTGAACGCTTCTGCTTTCTTCTGGTTGTATTGCTTGTGACATCTTGATCCTCCTGGCTGAGGCTTTGAAAAGATGCTAAGAGAAGACGGAACACTGGTGACTTGATCGCCTCAAGGTCACTGTGTTAGCGTTATCTTATGAACACCATCAGCTCTTTGATGATGTTCCATGGTCAGCATGTGATAGAGTTATCTCTACATGATCACCCAAGATCTTCACTCGCACGCAAAAGTCAACTCAAAGTTTTCCGGAACAACGCCTAATATTAAGTACTACAGATAAAGATAGATATCCACTCCACAGAGTAGCATAAGGAGTGAATTGAAAGTTAACCCGCCAGCCTCATTATCTCTTGAATCATCTCTTCAAGTTCTCCCATCGATGAACAATGCGGCTCGTCGCGAATGTGCAACCGCACTGGCCGCTTAGCAAGTAGCGCGGTAGCCAGCGCCGACGTTGTCGCCGCCATCGGGCTTCGCGGCCTTGCAAGCGGAGTAGAAAGAGTCACCAGAGATGGGTTCAGAACCCGCGGCCTCGGTGCAAGCGTTGTTGTACCACTGGGCGGATGTGAAGTTCTTGCACACCTTCTTGGTAAGCTCGACAGCGTCCGGGTTGTATGTCCAGCCGCCGGAGTTGATGCAGCAGTTGTGCATCACGTGCCTGAGTCGTACCGTCAGCTTCGAAATTGCTGCAGGAGATGGTTGGGCGTTAGACTTACTTGCCAGCAGTCGATGGGATGAATCCAGCGCCAGTGACGATACCACCAGCGACGTCGCCGGCGTGGTCTTTGGCACCCTGCTTGACCCTCGCACGGCCGCGTCCTCCCTTGGGGGCAGCCTCGACGGCGACGCTGTTCAATGGGTTAGCGAGGTAAGGGATGAAATATGGATGTCGCATACCTCATGGCGGCGAGGACCACGGCAATGGTAGAGAAGTTGAAGTGCATTTTGGAGATGGTTGGGATAATCGAGAGATCTGAAGGAGTGTGGGTTTGGTAAAGAGAGTGTGGTAATGAGTGACTGAAGCTGATTGCTGTGATGGGTTGAGAAGAAGTGAACTGTGAGGTCTTATATAGACATTCCATCAACGTAGGCATCTCGATCGAGGGCAAGTCGACGAGCGTAGAGGACCGATTCTGAAGCACCGTGGTGCGTGGTCATTTCCGGAGCATCGCCTTCAACTTCCACGATCGTTTTCATACCCTGGGTGTACGAGAGAGTTGACACCGCTCTTACAAGCAGCGCGGAGAGATCACCTGGAATTTCGCCGTGGTGTCTTATGATCGCTACCACGAATGTATCCTGAGTTGAGTGAGTCCTATATGCATAGCTCTACCTCGTCCTTCAGCCTTGTTTCAATCGGTTGACAGTCCGAATAGGCATGAAGTGCTGTACACCCAGTCCAAAGTCGTGCCTATAACTGATAGACTGCACAATCTGATCGATACATACTGCTTGAGACGAGCCAGGACTGCAACTCCGTGACACTTGGCGGCCGCATCTCGTATTGTGGTTTGGAAGATGAACGTTTCGATTTCCCAAATGAGTTAATCATGAGTACCAGTGTTGCACTGCTAGGCTTGTTCACCTCGCTTACCACCATAAGCACTACGCGGCCTTACTAGAAAGTCGAGCACCAGAACCCACTTGACGCGATTCAGTCAGCCTCCTGCACGTCTACAGTAGGAAGGATAGGAGAGATGAGTAACATAGAAGAAATTTGTAATTGGAGAGGTAGGAGAAGTAGGCAGTCGTTTCGTGAAGATATTAGGTAGTCCTTTGAACGTATGCGAGCATACTGCCACTATACTGTAGATCAAATTCTGGGCATGGAGGCTTGGATGATTAGTTCTGACCTTGGCGTTAATCACTTTCCAGGACCTCCTCACGTCTGTGGAGAAGTTCTTGGGCGTATTACCTGACCGTGTGATTCTCGGGATAATATTTCGATGGGCCACATTTACTAGAGAACGAGTTCCGGGCTATGGGTGCGGATGATTCGAGGTTTCTCCAGTTTTCTGCAACAACAATAGAGATGATCGGCACCTCTCGAACGAAGAGACCAAGGTCTTTTATGTCAGCGAGCGGAGCTGGACTCAACGAGGTTATAAGAGTGCTTTAAATTATGTGTTGAATATCACACGATCGTGTAGTGGCAAAGCACCTCTGCTTTGCCAGTATTCATGGTGCCGACATGTCGAACGCCTTTCGGTACGAGCGCAAATGAAAGAAGTCATGATACGCAATAACTGAGGCTCTTCGTGGCGCTGCGGATCGGGAGCACGGTACCCGCGTCGCGCTACAGATGCTTGTCATAAATTAGGTTTGCTCGGCAAGGCGTATTACATAGGAGGTCGGCCCGAAGAACTACTCCCTACGTCTTTTTGGCACTAGCTTTTGCTTCCATGTACTATTTGCATCGTGACTGTGAATACTTTGAACCAGTGGGCAATACTTCGGGATGTACGTACCCCAGGCCTCGCACGCACGTACCGCATAAGACCACGGATTTGGAAAGAAATAGTTCCTAGCAAGGCAGCGCCTTCCGGACAGTCAGCAAACGTCACCTAAGTCGACACGAGTTTCCCGATGGCGACTCGGAAGAGTTGCGTAATAAAGATGAGATCGCGTTTCCTGCAGAGAACATGGTCTTTCTATTCGATCTGCACAGTGTGTTGAACTTTGTTCTGTCTGATCCTGCATCCAACAGTCAGTATGGTATGGTTCAGGGTCCCCACCAAGAAGCACCTGTAGGGTAGCATGATGGCCGCCGGCGTGCGGCTACCGCGTAAATCACCTCAAGGGAACTCCCTCGATCGCAGCTACCATGATCAAGCTTACGGCCGTTGTACTACACCGCCGGTGAATTGATTTCTCAACCTTCAGCGACCATCATACCACATGTGGGGAAGACAAGCAGTTCATCACTACCGCGTGAAGCTAGCTCGCCGTTCGCAACAGGAGCAGCAGATGCTCTCGGAAATTACCCGTCTCCCGGATGTACCAAACTCGAACGGCCTGACCTAAGCAGAATTCTTGGGTGTGACGACTGCCGGTATCTCGAATGCGGTACTTCCGGAAGCCGCGGACGCCACAAAGATGGTGCTTACGCGCACGGTTTTTGCTCAAGGATCCCTCGATCGCAGAAAGGCGCAAACCGTTGTAGGGCGTGAAGATCTCTGATTATGGCCGAATGTAGGGTACTACCCAACGTGGGTGTAGTGCCCGATGTGGAGGTGACGCTTAACGTGGGAGTACCTAGGTAGGCTAGTCAGGTTTTACAATCTTTTGTGTCGCCGAAGCCACCGAGCTTACATACATAGGGCTGCATTTCACTCTGTAGGAGTATAGTCACCATACTCCGTCGCCGCGTGTCGTGCTGTCAAAGGATTCGACCTCGGGAGAGTCATCGCGTCATCCCCACGTGATTGCGCTAGCCTCTTTCTAGCCTGACGCGATCAGGGACAGGCAGCTCTGATGTTCTCATCAACTCTTTCGCTTGCATTTTATCTGTTTTCACTCTAACAGCGTTCTCTTTGAAAGAAGAAATGCTCGTGGGACAGTCAACAGTGACCAATATCATCAACGATGCGAATCCGAGAAAAAAGTGGGGTTGCGGCTGAGATGCGCAGCCAGGCTCAGCCTTGTGCGCAGCACCTAGACTGGTATTCAGTTCGATGGCTGGCGTCTTAGCCTGCTTTCATCTTTGCACTGGCTACTTTTTCTTTCATGTAAGATTCAACAGAGATTCTCGTATCAGATTGTGTTACAGCTTCGCATTCTGCAGATTACTGCCGTCTTATGCATTCGATCCGAACCCCACCGCAACCTCCAATCACAAGTCAGGCTATTCTCGTGCTTTTCTCCTAACCGCAGACCGGTCTGGTAATGCGCGGTCACTTTATGACCCTCTTATTCCAGCTCAACGGCGACAGTCATGTCTAAAGCTCTAACCAAGGCTTCGTCGCTCAAGCCTGATATCCGCCTCGCTCAGGCACTCTCCGAGTTCGAAGCCGACCTGACCAATGAGCAGAAGTCTAGGTTTCGCACGCTGAGATCGCAGTCGCTTTCGGTGGCACCAACTCCGAGCGATGTCATGCGGCTGACGGCCGAAGTAGATCGTCGCATGTCGAAGAAGTATAGTGGTCAGTGTTTCGGCCCACGCTTCACAAACTTCCTCCAGGGAGTCCAGCAGTTTGCTGCTCTTGGCGACGTCGTGGTTGGAGGTTCACAGAACCTGATAGCGTGTGGTGTCTGGACATTGGTGCGAATGTCTTTATTGGTCGGTATCTCTCTGTTGTATTATAGTCGCAATCGGATACTAATAGAGCGCAGTCGATTGTGAGCTTGTCCAACTACGTAGACAAGCTATCGTCGATATTTATGGACATCGGACGATCCACTCCGCGCCACCAAGCGATAAGCGTGTTGTATCCTCAATCAACAAAATTACAATCGTACCTCTCCGAATACTTCATTGTAGTCGTCGCACTTTGCCGTTACTTGTTTAAGTTCGGACAGAAATCAGCACTCCAACAATTCACATCTTCCTTGAACGATGGAGACTTGAAAGCATTTCGGACCGATCTTGACAAGTGGGCATTGTGGATCGCAAATGAAATGCAATTGAACGAAGCCCAAGAGAGTTCTGGTTTCAGGGCTCTATCTCGATCAATGTTCAAATCTGCATCGCAACAGCAGAAGTTTGCTACTAAGAACCGAGTGCTTGACTTCTGCTCTACATACGACCACGAAATAGTGTGGAAGCAAACGAGGAAGGCCGGAAACACGTCGCTTTATACAAATTTTGCGGAATACGAACAGTGGAGAGATTCTTCGCATTCTTCCACAATAATATGTACAGGCAAGCTGGGATCTGGCAAATCCGTACTCCTGGCAAATATTGTAGACGACCTCAACCTCTCCACTAAGAAAGAACGACCACTGATAACGTACTTCTTCTGCAGACACGATGTTCCAGAAAGTCTGCAAGCACGCGTAGTTCTGGGTTCGCTAGCGCGGCAGTTGCTACGGACCATCGATGATCTTGACATACTCTCGGAAATCTGCGGAGATACTCACACTACCGGTGACACCGACAAGATACTAGGACTCATCTTACAAGGCTACCCCCCTGATCATAAAGCGTTCTTTGTCATAGATGGGCTAGACGAATGCGACGACGAAGAGAGAAGGGTGCTAGTGCAAGCAATGGGATCGATCCAAGAGAACCTTAACGTCCTGATTTGTGCTTCGTTTCGCGAGGAGCCGAACAACGGTCTGCAGTCAATTACGCATCACCTCTTGTCCACTCGCATCATTCCGTTGCCAGAGAAGAACCCCGATATTGACGCCTTCATTGAAGCCGATTTGCGTCGTTGTTTGGACCAAGAGCTGCTGACAATTGGAGATGCAACTCTGATCATCGAAATACAGGATGCGCTCATAGCTGGTTCACAAGGAATGTTTCTTTGGGCGGCTCTTCAGATCCGGTCTTTGTGTAGTATGAAGACCGACCACGATATTCGTGAAGCACTGACGGATCTACCTAAGAATATCTCACAGACGTTTGCACGGATATTGTGGAAGTCGGGGAGTCTTGACCGACCCCTTCAAGCAAAGACGCTACAGCTGGTGCTGGCAGCATGCCGGCCATTGACTACTAGCGAGTTAAGAGAAGCCCTGAGTGTTACTCCTGGCGACACAACCTGGGATCCGTCCAAAATGTTGAACGATGTTCATTCAGCGTTAGCTTGCTGTGGGTGTCTTCTGACAGTTGATGAAGAAGAGTCAACTGTCCGAGTTGTACACCACAGCGTCAAGCAATATTTCTTGCACGGCCTTGACGATGCGAGGCATATTGGATTCACTGTCGATGACGCACGGATAAGGATGGCAGATATTGTGATCACTTATCTTGCGTACGGTGTCTTCGAAACTCAGATGACCAAGACCGCAATACGTCCTATCATGGCACATTCAGCACCTTCGAAGATCCTGCAAAGCACCATGGGATCTTCGAGTACTACTCGTCAACTCGCAATGAAGCTTCTCGGATCTAGAAAGCAACCTACATTCGATCTGAGCAAGACTCTCGCGGAAGCGCGTGGCTCTCTAAACCCCAAGCCAGAACACGTGTTTACGTTCTACGCTTATGCAAACATACACTGGCAAGATCATATCTGGGATGTCTCGGGGAAAAGTCATCGTATTCATCAGCTCTCTGAAAATCTCATCCAGACCCGATGCTCGGAAATAAGAGATGCGGATAGGGACTTCGGCAGGCGTTGTCGCTGGGCTGCTAAGCACGGGAGTTTGACACTTCTTGAGCTGATATGTCAGAGGACTAAAGTGCTTCAGGGTCAGGATGGAAGCTTCCTATATGATATAGGTACGCCACTGATTTGGGCGATAGATCGTGGAGACAAGGACGTTGTTAAAATACTGCTTGAAGCCGGCGTTGATGTCAACAAGGGAGTCAAAGTCAGGTATCAATTGATGCTACGTGAGGCCAGTTCGGGAGAAGAGCTACTGCCACTTACTTTGGCGGTAAGAAAAGGACACAAAGATATTGTTGGGCTGCTCCTGGAGATTGACAAACTTGCCGTCAATACGAAAGACCGTGAAAAGCGCACAGCGTTTATATGGGCCCTGAAGAAAGGAAACATGGATATCATCAAACTATTCCTCAAGGACAAGAGAACCGAAATTAATGGAGTGCCCGCTGGGGATTGGGAGCCATTGTTGGCAGCGGCATTGCATAGAGACAAAGACGTACTTCAACTACTACTTTTCACCGACCGGGTTGATGTCAACTCAAAGACCAAGATCGGAGAGTCGGCATTGATGCTGGCCGCGTCCGGGGGGCATCGAGAGATAGTTGAGCTACTGCTTGCTACTGGCACATTTGATCTTAATGCGATCAACGATCGGGGAGAATCGGCGTTGATGCTGGCGGCATCCGAAGGGCACGAAGGCATAGTTGAGCTACTACTTGCTACCGATGGAATCGATATCCACACGAGGGGGGAGAATGGGAAGACAGCATTGAGCCTGGCCTTGTCACAAAAACACAGAAACGTGACTGAAATGTTACAGTCATACTCACTCCGCGCTGCCGCTGATTCTCTAGTGGGCGCGAACAAAACCGTCACACCTGATGAGACGACTTAGTTGAAATCATGTAGTATGGAGTCGAAACTAGTCATATCATAGGCTATATACTCTCTCTATATATCCTGACTTGCTTGTTTCTGTATCATGGCTCCTAATTGCTGTAGACGGTGACAATGTTTTACTACGTCGCATCAGTCTATCTGAGAGCCTTTGTAGTGTATGTGCACGTACTTAAAGCTTGTGGTAGATCGGTACTACCAGGAATGCTACCGAAACAGATCCTCCAGCCGCCTGAAGTCCTTGACATATGTGCTGGTGGCTACCACGATCAGGGCGACCTTGAGCACGCGCACTAGCCAGATCCGCGGTGACGTCTATCAACGGCTAAGTGTTAACATATTATTGACTGGCAGTATGATGTGTCTAGTACCTCTAGGGAATTTGCCTCCGTTATGCGCCTTATCTTCAAGAGCTCTAGAGCTCAGGTCATGCATCTTGATGATGGTGACAACACCGATAATGAGTAACGCCGCGATAGCGGCGAGTACGACGGTATCATCTGAAAGCATGCTGACGATGTAGATAGCTCGTGAAGTAGTATGATGATTGAATTAGTGTACTGTAGAAGTGAGGTAGGTGAGAGCATAAGAGTTGAAGGTTGCAACATTCGATATGCACCGAGCTAAACAAACGAACGGTGAGCAAACACTGACATTCCACACCTCTCCATCCCAAGTTCATAAAACGCTAGACATCAGCAGCACTATTTACACGCTGGATAGATCATTCAGATACTTAGGTATGCTTAGTGGTCGGATTACTTCTTGTATCGGCTGGATGTGCAAATGTATCCAGACAATACTACATAACCATGACTCTGTCGCCATGACGGCCCAGGTTCCTTTGTCGTACTATACAGACACATGGGTATTCGAGCCCTTCCGCAGTGTTCGTGAGGACATGGTATTGCATTTGCCCTATGGCGCCAGACGCTAACATGGACAGAGCCCGGCACACCGAAGCCAAAGAGTCAGTGAAGAAGCCATGATGCCATTCCATTCATTCCATTTTCCGTAGGTATGTTTATCGGAAGAGAGTAAAAGAACACCGAGTCATCCCGAAAAACCAGCCATAACCCAGACTATGCACGCCATATCGAACCCAGCTTAACGAGTCCTTGCCTGCACCTTTGGTGCGGCACCCTTGGCACCCTGCTTGCTGACCTTGGCGGCGTTGCCTCGTGCGGATGCGGCGGCGTTCTTGGCCTTCTCAGCCTTCTTTGCTGACTCGGCGGCGGCCTTCTTCTCCTTGCCCTCCTTGACGGCGGCGGCGCGGGCAGCGGAACGAGCCTCGGGACGTTGGCTGCGGCGCTCCTTGATCACGTCGAGGGAAGCACCGACGATGGCACGCTGGTGCTTGACTGTGCGGCGGGTGCGCTTCTTGGCGACTTCCTGTTGGGTGAAGGTGATTAGCGAGTGCGCCTCGTGATGGAATTGAGAGGAGATGGCCGCTGAGAATGCGTGTTTGTCAAGCCTGTCCGCAGTGTAGACTGATGTCATAGTCTGCTGCCTCTCCAAACATTCCCAGCGGCGCGTGTCGTGTGTATGAACTGCAGCGACTAACCTCAGAGATACCCTTCTTGTGCGCCCTTCGGTAGAGAGTGGTCCAGTGAATCTTGCGAGGGTTCTTGCGCTGGAGGAACAGGGACTCGGTCTTTCCGTTCTGGAAGCGGAAGATCTTGCTGTCACCACGGATGTAGAGCTTGCCCTGTTGATTCCATCAGCAAATGTCCGACCGATTGTCATGTTCCATCATCCTCCGCCTTGTTGCCGTCGCGATGGCGGGATTTCGACATCTGGGTGGCGGGCGCCGTGACGTGGAGGGGCAATATAACGCACCTTGCCCGGGTAGATCTTTTGACCGCTGAAGGAATCGTCGTAGGTACGCATGTTGGCGGTGTTGGCGTGATACCTGTGTGTTAGTCGTGGGGTTGTCGTCAGTCGCGAATTCAATATTGCAACTCCGTGTTGAGACCTGTGGGCGGGCTAAGCCCGACCGAGCTAGCCTCTTGGCGTTTGGCGCGGTGGCTGGTGCGCGACATCGAGATGGTCTGCACCCACGCGAACACCACAAGTACTTTCATGAGTTTCTCTCTTTCTATCATCGTACCGAGGAAGCCTACAGTATCTGGACAAGCTCGGTCGCCGTGCTAGCTCATCGCTTCCACATCATGTTAGGACCTCAGTATTCCAGATGATATTCATGCATTTCTATACCAACGTTTTTTGGTCAACACAGTCAACGTACGCGTCCTGCTGATACCCTAGGAACGATGTAGACGACAACATCGCCACCTTATACATGAGTATGGTGTTGAATGGCAAGGAACCAGACGTGGCTGGCGCAAGGCAGCAGCAACCCCGCTACGACACCGCTGATACAAAAGGCACAGGTGAATCACCTCGCCAAGAACCTGTGGCACTAACTGACCGACAACTACCTTCACTTGTCATGTGAGGCCCGAAGCAATCATATTTTACAGCTCAGCCTTATGCCAGTCAACACTCCAAGAGAAATATCCATCCATCGTAACCACCGGTATCATCTTACGAGCCTCAACTTGTCATGGATTTCTCTGCACGTAGAGTAGCTGTCACGACCGCTACTAATCATTTGCAGTTGCTAGAAGACAACAATTTGAACTTCAATTCCGGCAGCCTTCATGTCATGACAACGTCCACACCCCAGTGTGTGTCAGGAGATACAGCCACGACTAGCTCTGACCTACACAACCAAGACCTGGTTGATGTCATGGCCGAGCTTGAACGCTATCAAGTCGACCATCGAGCAGCTTTCGCCTTTGAGATGGCCCAACGCGGACGTGTTCATTCCTTGAATGAGGACGAACTAAAGCACTTTCGCAAAGAAAAAGACGGTGTATTCGCCCCATCCCCATGGGATACACCAAATCTGTCTACAGAGTTACCATTCACCCTTAGCTCGCTTCCTAGCCCCGCGTCAGTAGAGAATGCGATCAAGAACGATATCGGAGGCGAAAATCACTTTCGTTTTGCACCCTCACGCGGCTCACCAGACGACGACGCAACTGCCATCATGCATTTGCTTGACAATATTCAAACGCCGACATACTCTGAGCCTGGTGCTGTCGTACACATGCAGTCACCTACCTTCAACCGGGCATGGCGCTGGGTGCCGGGATGGGAAAGTGAAGGTATGCTAGGTCAATCAGACTTCCTCTTGACGGTCGCTCCTGCAGGTGAGGTTTTCGAGCTGGAATATCATGACCATCATTTCTCCACAACGCTCTTGACCGGTTCGAAGGTATGGCTTACGTTTCCTCCGTTACAGGCGAACCTAGACATCCTCCGCAAAGCATATGGGGAGATGCATGCTGCTAACACCTCCCGTGTTGCTCTGGGCATCCTCGCAGAACTGCAACATGGTATTTTCGTCATCCAGAAGCCAGGCCAAACTCTTCTTTTTCCACCGTTCTGGTCTCACATGATATTCAATACAGCTACCTCTGTATCATGCGGCTTCTTCATAGCTACAGCCGCGCAATACGTGTACCGTATAAGGAACATGGACCTTTGGCTGTCTCTCAATCTCTTCTGGGATTCAGCGGAAGAGCAACAGAATCATCTCGAGAACTATGCGGCAGAACTTGCAACCCACTTCTCGACCATCATGACGGGCAACTTCAAGCGCTTCAAAGTTGCTAATGTACAGAACGCCATCTGCAGAGAATGGGTCAAGACTGCACAAAAGAAAGAAACAGACTTTGAGAATATGCAAGAAAAGATTGGTGGGCTGCTGGGATTGATTGACGATGAAGAGGAAAGAGAGAAGATTGACGAAATGTTTCGAGTTGTGTGGATTGAGTTTGTACAACTAAAGCGTAAGAAGAAACCGGAATGCCGACTCTGCCATGTGCGCATCGAGCATATGCCTGCAGGAGAAATGCCAGATGACCGGCTGGCCCGGCACGTCACCGACGTGCATTGCAATTTCTGAGCTTTGATTTGAGATACCCATACCACTTATAGCTCACAATGCACTACTTTCGCGCGTCCCGATCTTGACACCTCGTTCCCGCCGATAGTCCCAAGCAGACACCACAGAACACAAATACCAGCAGCCCGTCCCACCTCACGCCANCGCCGTTCACTATCACTATGCTGTAGAGCCCCACGTCGCACAGTGCGAGTCAAGTTATCGCAGCCCGCACAACCACGGCGAAGGGACAGGAGCATCGGATCGGTCCCTAGCATCCGACGCTAAAACGTCCGGCCCGGTCGCCATGCTCAACCACCATGCCCAAACGAGCCTAACGAGCGGAAACGACCCACCACTTGAGAGCATGTCCCCGCACACTACACCCTGAAATCTTTTGTCTCCGGTCAACTAGACCGCCGCGACCACGCAACACTGGGATGCACCATTGTTAGCAATCAATCCAAGCCAGCGGAAGAGAGATTTTTCATAAAATCTGGAAGCCAGCCATGGGAGGCCTGATCCGAGACCGAGGTCCGGGTCGTACCTGCAGATGAAAGACGGCAGGAGTGGAGTAGAGAGGTTTCTGGTCGGAGAAGACGACCAAATCGGATAGAGTACGTATACGTACCTAGTATAAGTAGTGAAGGACACGACGGGACGGCAGAGCAAGTTCGAGAGAAGAAAGAACGGGAATTTCAAATCTCCAACCATTGTCCACGTCTCCCTTACCCACATCTTCCCACCACGTTAGCAGAAGGATAAACTGCAAGTTGCCGACTATAGACACAGCCCTGTCCTTAACAATCCTCACACCTCTTCCATTCAAAAATGCGTTTCCTCACCACCATCCTGAGTACTACTCTAAGTCTCCTCACACTCAGCTCCGCCGCCGCCACCATGAACACGACAAACGGACTCGGCACGACGCCCGCCCAGCGACACATCATCTCTGCCGCGCAAGCCCAAACCATCATCACAGGCGCCACGGCCAACGCAACAGCGCTCCAGATACCCGAAAACATCGCAATAGTCGACCCTTC